AGATCCACCATAAAATGCAGCATAAGGCAGATGGAAGCAAGGACAGGCTACAGCGGGGGAATTTCTGAAACACTGCACTAGTATGTAGTGCTAGTGTCAGGGAAACCAAAACTCAGATGATATTGAGACTTGCCAGGGATATCAAGGCAACAAGAAGAGCTTGTACATTACTAATAAAAGGCTGAACAAGGAAAATATGTAATGGTTGGTGAATGAAAAGGATGATTCAGCAATAGTGGACTCTGGTAAGGCTGAAGTGCTCAATGCCTTGTTCTTTGAGGCCTCTGTGCATAATGAGAGAGAAGAGAGGAACTACTAGCAGTGGATAAGGATCAAGTCAGGAATTACTTATGAGAACTCAACTCATAAATGCTCATGGACCCGGCAAGCTGCATCAAATCTTTATAAAGGTTCTAAAAGGACAACCTAGAGGATTACAGGCTGCTCAGCCTTACTTCAACTTCTGGCAAAAAACCGGAGCAAATCCTCTAGGAAGATACTTCTTGCAACCTGAAGCAGAGTAACAACAGAGTGGAGAGTCTCTCATTAAGTTTTCAGATGAAACCCAAACGGAGGTTGCAGTTGGAGGGCTTGAGGGGCAAGTTGCCTTTTGAAGGAACCTATGGGATGAACAGACCAACAAAAGCCCCTTAAGGAGAGATGGAAGGAAATAGAATTGTCTAGTTTGAAGAAGAGACAGCTTTGGGGGGAACTATGAGCAGCGTTCCAATACCCAGGAGGAAGTTATGAAAAGGAGGAAGCAGGTTTTCCAGTGTTACATGTCAGGAGAACTAGAAACAATGGACATGAATGAGAAAAGGAATGTTTCCAGCTGATTACAAGGCAAAATTTTTTCAGCATAAGGACAACCAAGAAGTGAAGTCGGTTGCTCAGAGAGGCTCTGAGCCTCTACTTTGAGGTTTTCAAGACCAGGCTGTGTAAATCTCTAAGCAAATCTGTTTAGAGTAGGAGTTTACACTAAATCCTTTCTGAGGTCCCTTCCAACCTGAAGTATCCTATGACACTATTAAAAAAATTCCTTTTATTTCTGAAACAAGAGGAAATATACTCTTTTATTTCAGGTAAAGCTGTTTCATTGGTGCTATTTTCCAAAAATCCATAATGCCCTGATCTTTCTAGCTATTTTAACACATTGGAATCATCTAGATTTTGAACTTCTCATCTTTGATGATGAAGTCTTCAACTATTACCTGTGGCTGTTTCTAAAAGAAGCATTTTTTAGCTTCTGCAATTGCGGGTTACAGATTTCATGCAACTACAGCACAAATGTTGTCTTAACTACAAAAAGAACATGAAGAACATCATGCTACTTTTAGCAGTTTCATGAACAATGATTGAAGCTTTATTTATGAGAATTCTAGATTGTATGTTGAATTGATATGTTACTAGTGTTTTCTACAATGCTATTTAATACTATTTGTCCTCAAGAACATATTAATATGTCTGACATAGTTTGTCTTTTGGCCATCATCTAACACATTTTTTAATACATCTACACTAGTCATTACCAACGGTAGGTTTGCTGAATGGAATCAGCTAAATCCTTTCCGGGCTTCCAGTCTTGGTAGTTTAGCTTGATGGGCTGATAGCTTCTATTAGACAACTTCATTTCTTTTATAAACCCTATTTGCAAACATTGTTCTATTGCTAGCATTCCTCTTTATATGTGACATGAGTAGGAGATTTTATTCTTATGTGGAATTTCTAGAACTATATACATTCCCAGTGTTTCTACTGTTGCTGCAAAATGCACATACTCTGGTTGAGACTAATTCTGGCTGAATATTTCCATATCTCATATAAAGTGGGTTGTTGGCATCATCAAAGTTCTTACAGCTGTATTCATTTAAACAGAATACTTCAATCCTATACTTTAATCCCAGCTCTTTGTGGGATAAGGTTTAAGGTTGTGGGGTGGTTTGTTTGTTTCTTTTCTTTCCCCCTTATAAACACCAGATTTATCTCTGACATGGAGAGAGGGAACTTGTATAGTTTCATTCAATAACATAAACTGCATAGGAAGGTCTTTGTTCTGGCTCTGTGAATATACTCTTGTACATCAGCATGAATATTCTCCTAGTCAATTGAGCATTAGATGCCTGATTGTGATTTCTCTGGAGATTAAGCATTTTGTTGTGGTGTGACAAGTCTGTAGAAAAACTCAGTTTATCCCACTGAGATATTTTGGTGCTCCAAGGCAGAAAAGGAAGCAAACATTTGTCTCTCATATGGTCTATACTTTTTTTTTAACCTTTCTGACAAATATATGAGACATGTGCCATTTGTCTTAGTTTTATTTCTTTCTCATGGTTCAACACTGCACTCATTCAGTGTTCCGTAACTTTTAACTCAGAAGGTCTTGTTGGCTGTATATGTCACTAAATAAAATAGGACTAAGGGCTGATTTCTGTCCGTGAGGCTAAATGGCACAGAGTGGCTGCAGGCACACTACATAACACTTGGCCTTGAGTGTTGCCTCAAGGGGACAAAGTGTCTGAAATAAAGTGAGGGTCACATTGCAGCTTTTTAGCACAGGGTTTTTCTAGTATGAAACAGAGAATTTGCAGCACACTGTGGTGTGTGGCAGGAGGAGTGTGTCATGGTGCCAAACTTCCAAGACAGTTTTAGAGAAACCATCAAGGATGATGTTGGGTATTGGGAATGATTCCTGGCAAATGCTATCCCCATGCCTGGGTATTGTCTGGAAGGGTGCTGGTTTGCACCAGGCAAACTGAGCAGAACAAAGTCAAGCAGTGTGAAAACCAGCGGTCCAGTGCTGAAATTCAAGCTCTGTTTATTTAGCATGCATAGACATTGTGTCTCTGTATTTGTACATGCACGCTGAAGCCTTGTGTATAACTTCTGTCCCTCTTCATTGTTTACTGTGTTTGGTACTTCTCAAATGAGCTGTTGTGTACAGTCACCTTTTCTGTACAGATTTCAATGAGATGCTTGTCCAAATCTTGTCCCAAAAAGATCTCCAAAGTTGTGACATATGTAGGCAGTGTAAATCTCAGTGGATCAGAGATAAGGGAAGATAACCCTATGGATACTGTTTTCTAGATCAAAAATGACATCTCACTGTGATGATGTACATGTAGACTTAAGAAATGTTGAGGTTTTGTTTCATATGTAAACAGTGTGCATAAATTTATCTGTTGCATCAGAGTAATTTGCAGAAAGAACTTCATGTGAATAGTTCAGATAGTACAGGTTTAATTAGCAGTGGAGAAAGCTACGTTCTACACTAAAAGCAGACCACACAGCTATGAACAATTTCTGTAGGCTGTCAGGTTTTAAGCTCATTCTGTGGAAGCCTTTCTGTTGACCAGTTCTAAGCCTCTTTAAACAATAACAAACAATTCTATAATAGCCAGACAGTAGATTGAATTCCCTGATGTCTGGGACTTCTGCTAATGTTACTCCAAGCTGCATAACACAGTATTCCTAGCACACTAGAATGGATACAGTCACTGTTACAGGTTAAACAGCTGTCAGCATATGAACTTGACACTTGGGCAGGAATCTTTTATGCCAGCCCACCCGCAGCCTTCATCAACCAAAACTACCAGTGGACTAGCTGTAGAAGTTGGAGGCAAAAGGTTCTGGTAATCAGGAGGAATAAAAGCAAGCATTGTACTGATAACACTGGATAATAGTAGATTTCAATAGCAATACAACAAGAGTGGTTTTGGGTGGACAATAATTGAGGAAAACCAGATGTTTGAGTGAATACTGGATTAAATCTTGGTTATGTTTCTCCGAAAAGAAGAATAAGCATGTCTTGGACCTCCTGCTGCTGAAAAACACCAGGGAGTGAATACAGGGAACACTCTTCTGGAGCTCATTGACCCTGGGAAGAGAATTCCTAAGGCAAATCACATACAACATGTTTATATATGCTTTTTGTGGGATGAGGGAAAACAGGGTAGAAGCAGGAAACTAGTGTATGTATTTGAGTTAGAAGAACTAGATACAGACTCTTCCCTGCCATGGCCTGCTGTGTAGTGTTTTACTTCTTATAGTGCAACTGCCTCTGTTCCTGATCTTTTTATCCAGGATTTATATTTTCTGATTTTATGTACTTCTGAAGATGGAATCTGTTACTAACATAGAACCCAGACACTGGCAGTGGCTAGCCCCTTTAAGAATTTCTCAAAATCAAATAATTCAACTTCGTGTGTTCATTTTTGGGAAGCATGGAGGCTAAGAAGTGGAATGCCAAAAGGAAGTCTATTTTAATTTTGTATTCTTGTTGTTAGAGAGATAGAAGAGAGACAACCCAAGAAACTGTCCCTTGTCAAATTTTATAGAGATTTTCCCCAAGCCTAGGGAACATGTCTAAGCTTTTGGGCTTTTCTGACTCTGATGCTTCACTCATCGTTAATTATAACACATGCCACTAGTCAGGGAGGTAAGAAGCAGGCAACTGAGAGCTTAAAACAAAGAGAAACAGTGCTGTTATTTTCATTTTTTCTCACCTATAATTTTTCCTTTGATTTCATTTAATTTGATAAACCTGGCAAGTTGCTGCCAGGTGGATCTCCTACACAAGTCTGTTTCGATATTTCATTATCCTTTTTATTTCTAGCATCATCATTCAGACATCTCTGTTTTCTCTAGCTAATTAGCCCGCTGTTTACGAGGTGCACATTTCTTAACATATGGTACACAGTTGCATTGCATGTGTGCTGTATTTTCATTTTCTAGTTTGAATCTTATATTTCTGATACAGTATGGCAGAAATATCAGATGCCCATCTTACAGAACAGCATTCACAACTTCACATTGAAATGTGCCCTAATTATACTTTTGAAATCCTTACATCCCCATGTTTTCAATTAAGACATCACAGCCATTACAGTACTGTGACAACAGATTGTGATTTAAAGATGCTAGTATTTGGAGGTCACAATTTAGCAGGAGATAAAAGTCACAGGAATTAAGTGTTTAAAATAATCAAGATTAAAAAAATGTACCTTTCCAATTCAGTGGAGCAAAGTTAAACCCCATATGAAAATCCTCCACATGGCGTGATACTGTCTCTTTGAGACACTGGCATTGCATGCAGCTGTTATAAATCTTCTTCCTGTGTAAGACTGCAGAGGGAGGACCTGACTGGCAACACAAAGGAAGAAGCAGGTCTGTTCGCCTGTCTGGGAGAGAAAGAGGGAGAGGAGTGGGTGGAGGGGGAGTGAGACGCACACACACACACACACACACAGCTGAATACAGAAAGATTCACTCCTTCTGTACAGCCCACAGACCATCTATGCCTAAATGATTCTGGTCCACCATTTGCATGATATATTAGCCTTTCAAGCTGTCTTGTGGTATTATCTGAGAGACTGTAGCTTTTGCTTTTAGCTAAGCTCATCTGCCATTGGTTTTATCTCCAGCAGGTCTCTATTTCTAGCTAATATTAACCTTATTGCAAGAAAAACAGTATACTCGGAGCTGTCCACATGCTGGAAATACACCAAGATACTGCAAGGGGTGAATTAAAAAGCTTCGGCATATGAATTAAATTCCTGTGTTGTTAACTCTACTGGCAAAAATGCTTGTTTTTTTTTCTTTTTTTTTTTTTCTTTTTTAAAGAAAAGCCCATATCAACATTTCAGTTTTACACAATATTTACATTAAACTGGAAAAAAGAGAATTAATAATTCTGGAATAAGAGTGTTCACATGGGTTGCTACACTCACATAACCATATCAGCTTCACTGTGGTAGTGTAACTGATAATATGTGCTGTGCTAACTTGCTCTCAGGCTCCTTCAGCTGCAGAGAGATGCAGATGTAACCTTAAATTCTCTCTAAAGCAAATCCCTCAGATGCTTTCTACCTCCCTCATCCTCCCTCAAAAAAGCCTTCAACTCCCTCTATAGGATTAGCTTTTCTCTGTACCTACCCCCTCCATGTCGAGTCTCGCCTGAATCGCTGTCAATCATCTGGTTGCTTCCCAGCTCCTCCAGACATCCCCTCCAGCCAACGCACATATCCCTGCAAGCTTCTGCCTGAATCATGAACTGACAGCTGGAAGACAGGTAGTATGAGGATCATATTGAAGAGGTGAACAAACATTTTCAGCAGAAGCAGAGCCCCTATCCATAATATGTTATTTCCCTAACAAAAAGCAAAATAATATAACGGTTTTCTTCTTGTTGTATAGCCAGCTTTTTATCATGCACTGAACACAACAGAATTATAAGATTTCGAGTGGTTTTGTAACAGCAAGTGTAACCACAAAATACACAAATGTCTGTGAGATGTATAGTTATTTCTAATACGTGGGTTAGCCATGAAGGCTCCAGTGTTCTTATACCAAAGGTACAGCATGATAGCAGAATTTTTCTTAACATAAGGACTATACTGCACAGTGAAGGTAAGAATTATACCAAAATGGCTTCAAACATTTTCCAGCTTGAGGGTACAGTGCTGGGCACCTAAAAAGCTGGGCTATTTTTCAGTAGTAGTGAGAGACCACAACCATTATCGACTTAGTGCTTGGCTCATTTAAAATGCAAGCCTTATTTCGATGCTTAATATAGATTTAGGCATCTGACTGTAAACACTTGATTAAAAATATTGGCCTAGCTTTACAAATAAAGGTCAAAGGAAACATACATTACTGAGCACTGGAAAGCAAGAGTAAGACAAGGAATTAAGACAAAAGGAGTTCTAAGGATTTGTGGAGGACAAAGGAAAGAAAGCATTTGGATGCTATTTATTATTTTTAGTATTAGTTAATTTCCATTTCAATTATTGAAATTATATAGCTTTTATATAGCCAGTGCTACTCTCCCTGTTGTTTTTATTATCCCTTACTCTTCTCTGTGCCTATTCAGCCTAAGCGAGAGCAGAAAATACTGTATAGAAATCCTGAGAGACAGCCTGCTCACATGAAACTTTCATCCAAATTTTAGTAGATACCAAAGGGTGAACCTTTAATTGGGCAAGGAAGAAGCTTAGGCATACCTAGCTAAAGCTGTACATTTTCAGATGTTCACCTATCATAACGATGTCCTGCTGTCACGCTTTCTAGTTTTTAGCCATCCATCATGAAAATAATAAAACAGAGCCACCAGCAACCACCAAAAGAACAAATGCTTTTATTTATTATTCACCTGGATGTAGGATTTTAGTGAGACTTCTAAAGCATGTGTGTGTAAATGCTGTCTGCGTGGCGGTTATTCAAGCTTCCTTTGAATTCCATCCATCCATTTAGTCATCCCTGCCAAGTCTGTCTCTATTACTTGTGTCTACTAAGATGTGTTTTAATGGTGAAAATAACAGGTTGACTTAGTAAAAATGCTGGCAGTGACACCAAGGAATGCTGGGAATTTACTAATCTGAAAAATAATGACCTTAGGGGAGCTTTGTTCCTCCTTCTCATGGGTCCTTGCTAGAAACAGCCAAATAATTATAAAAAGGAGCCAACTCAATAAACACAGTGGGAAGTATTGTGGATGTTATTATATAAATGCATTATAGATATTTTTCAGCTTTGATTTTTTTAGATATGAATTTTCTGAAACTTTTCATGCTGTTTGGTTTTGGTTTTTTGTTATTTTTTTTTGTTTGTTTGGGGTTTTTGTTTGTTTGTTTTTTGTTTTTTATTTTTAAATTTTTGTATCACTACTTCAATTTGTATTACCAAGGATTTAAAAAAAACTCAGGCAAACACTAAAACAACCCCTACCTGAATCTTACAGGCCAAATACTGTATGAGTCATATTTATGAAGGGCTTTGAACTGCACAAAAAACAAAGCTCAGATGCAATTTCATATTTGATTCCAAACGTATGTACGGGTAGATTTCAGGGTAGATTTATCTCCCTTACCCTGGGGCCAGTCTACTCTAAGCAAAGATCAGATTCAGTTTCATGTGTCTTCTAGGGACAATGGAAGCCACAGTTTGTGTGATGGGAATATGGCTGTGCTCATGGGGATTAGGGCAAATGTGGATGCCAAACTGAAAGAGTTGGTTTGGTCAAGTTTTACTGTGTAAACACATGGTATTTGTATAACATTCCAATAATATTTGTCCACAATCCTGACTTCAAATAGAAGTGATTCATGAAATGTTCCCCAAATTGATACATCTTCTTGACTTTGACTGAAATCTGTTTTCTTAATAGCACATGTCCACAGAATCATTAGTCTTGCTCTCAAAAGAGCAAGACTATGGTGCAAAAAAATGGTGCCATAAAAAACACGTTCTCTGTTATCTGCTCAGAGAAATGGCATATGTGTCAGATGTACAGAGGAGGCAGGGCTTGGACATGAAGGATTTTGCCCTCTTAAGCTCATCATAGTGAAGAAAACAGAATATAGGTGCTCTTCCATCCTGACTATACATTTGCTTGACAGTTTCTCTTCTGTCTCACAGCCGCATATCTGTCACAGACATAAGTAGTCTCAGCTAAGTCACTCAAAACAGAAAGCTTCTTGCCCTCTAAATAAAATAGACATGCACTAGTTAAAAAAAAAAAGTAATACATATTGATGCTACATGTAGATACAGGTAGTTCTCCCAGGATGTGGCTTATTTACATAAAGGTAAGTTTTAATCCAGTGGCCAATTCCCTAAGACCTCTTTGTCACAGACTCTAGCTTCTCTTTGAAAATGTTTTCACTGGAAAAGTAGGTTAAAAGAAAAAAAGGGAGCCATGTCTGATAATTATCAGACTGAAAATCAGTGTCAACGGGAACAATTTGAGTTTACTATCAAGATGTGTGTTGATTGTGATTAACCCCATAATTTCCATAAGGTTTAATCTCAATTGACTGTTTCCTGCTGTATATGTATCTTTTCCACCTAAACTGATTAACACTGTGTTAGTTGAAATGAGGACTCACAATTCTATTCTGACATGACAAAATATTCTAACAAAATGATACACTAGAAACGAAGTCTGGCCTGATGCATGTTCAGAGGGAAATCTATGTGCTCAAAAACTTAGTTCAGTAGTTCAGAGGAATTTCAGTTCATCCACAATAGTTGCCACTGTATTTACTGAGTTAGCTCCCTTTAATAATTCATAGAATCATAATATCAACTGGGTTGGAAAAGACCTCCAAAATCATCAAGTGCAACCCTTCATCCACTACCGCTGTGGTTACTAGACCACGGTACTAAGTGCCACATCCAGTCTCATCTTAAAAACCTCCAGGGATGGTCAATCCACCACCTCCCTGGGCAGCCCATTCCAATGTCTGATTACTCTCTCCATAAAAAATTTCTTCCTAATATCCAACCTAAACCTCCCCTGGCACAGCTTAACACCATGCCCTCTTGTCTTACTGATAGCTGCCTTGGGAGAAGAGACCGACGCCTACCGGGCTACAACCTCGTTTCAGGGAGTTGTAGAGAGTGATGAGGTCTCCCCCGAGCCCCTGAGCCTCCTCTTCTCCAGCTCCCTCAGCCTCTCCTCATAGAACTTGTGCTCGAGTCCCTTCCCCAGCCTTGTTGCTCTTCTCTGGACCTGCTCCAGCACCTCAATATCCTTCCTGAACTGAGAGGCCCAGAACTGGACACAGTACTCCAGGTGTGGCCTCACCAGCGCTGAGTACAGGGGAAGAATCATTTCCCTGGTCCTGCTGTCCACACTGTTCCTGATACAGGCCAGAATGCCATTGGCCCTCTTGGCCACCTGGGCACACTGCTGGCTCATGTTCATCTTCCTGTCAATTCCAACTCCCAGATCCCTTTCTGCCTGGTTGCTCTCCAGCCACTCTGCCCCCAGCCCGTAGTGCTGCAGGGGGTTGCTGTGGCAAAGTGGAGGACCCGGCACTTGGCCTTGTTGAACCTCATCCCACTGGAATCAGACCATCTCTCCAGCTGGTCCAGGTCCCTCTAAAGAGCCCTCCTGCCTTCCAGCAGATCAACACGCCCTCCTAACTTGGCGTCATCTGCAAATTTCCTAATGGCACATTCAATGCCCTCATCCAGATCAATAATAGAACTGGGCCCAACACTGATCCCTGAGGGACACCATTAGCGACTGGCTGCCAACTGGATGCAGCACCGTTCACCACTCTCTGGGCCCGGCCCTCCAGCCAGTTCCCAACCCAGCACAGAGTGCCCCTTTCCAAGCCGTGGGCTGCCAGCTTTTTCAGGAGTGTGCTGTGGGAGACAGTGTCAAAGACTTTGGTGAAGTCCAGATAGACCACATCCACAGCCTTCCCCTCATCCACCAGGCAGGTCACCTGATCATAAAAGGAGATTAGGTTGGTCAGACAGGACCTGCATTTCCTAACCCTGTGCTGGCTGGGTCTGATCCCTTGTCCATCCTGTAGGTGGTGTGTTATTGAACTTAGAATGATCTGCTCCATAAGCTTGCCAGGCACTGAGGTCAGGCTGACAGGCCCATAGTTTCCCAGGTCCTCCTTGCAGCCCTTTTTGTGGATTGGCGTGACATTCATCAACTTCCAGTCATCTGGGAGCTCCCCAGTGAGCCAGGACTGTTGGTAAATGATGGAGAGTGGCTTGACGAGCTCTTTGGCCAGGTCCCTCATCACCCTAGGATGGATCCCATCTGGTCCCATAGACTTGTGAGGATCCAAGTGGCTCAGCAGGTAACTGTTTCCTCCTGGATTACAGGGGGGTTATTCGGCTTCCTGTCTCTGTCTACCAGTTCCAGAGGTCAGTGGTCCTGAGGACAACCTGTCTTACTGTTGAAAACTGAGGCAAAGAAGATGTTAAGTACCTCAGCCTTTTCCTCATCTTTGCTGACTATGTTTTCCCCCATGTGCAACAACGACTGGAGGTTTTCCTTGCCCCTCCTTTTGCTATTGATGTATTTGTAGAAGTGCTTCTTTTTATCCCTAACAGAAGTGGCTAGATTGAGTTCAAAGTGTGCCTTTGTCTCTCTAATTTTCTTTCTACATGTCCTAACTCTATTCCTAAACTCTTCATGAGTAGCCAGTCCTTTTTTCCCTAGTCGATAAGCTCTCTTTTTTCCCCAATTTCCTTTAAAATCTCCCCGAGTAGC